GGAACTAAAGGTAAACCTTTGGAATTATAAGGAGGTTATAGTACCCCAAAAAGGTTAAAGGTTACCTACGGATTAATAAGGAGATTAGAGTACCCCAAAAAGGTTAAAGGCTACCTGATCTACTGCCAGGTGTCTTTCCTTGAGCTTCAGGCACCGCTCCCAGGCTGCCTTCTGGCGGGAGCGGTCGCCGACTCTCTGGTACAGCGCGCCCTGCCAGTGGAGGCTCGCAGCCACCACCGGATCGCTGGGTCCGTACCTCTCCTCTGCTACCTCCATGATTCGCAAGGTCAGCTTCATCTGCTGCTGCCAGCTGCCCGGGTCAGCACGCAGGGCTTCGATGTTCTCGGCCACGCGCGGGTGCGCGAGCAACTCGTCCGGCAGTCCGGACTCCACTGACTCCAGCATCGTCAGGCCTTCCTCCGGTGCCGCATCAGCACCTGAAGGGCCAAGGCTTACTTGGGGTCTCCGAGTAAAGGGGTACACTTTTGGGGTCCCTTTATAAGGGGTCATACAGTAGTTTGGGGCAATATAAGGGGTAACCCTATTTTCGGAAATCCCCGAATGGCTCAAAGCACAGAACTGAAGCCCCGAAGCCTGATCACCAATGACAATGTCATACTACGACTCTTCCCAGGATGGGCGATTTGGGTTGGGATGCTCCCCCTTATACTAACAGTCCTTGACATAGGGATTATAGTCTCCCCTTATACTAACAGCCCTTATAATCTAGGGCAATGTAGGGATTATCGTCCTCCCTGTTCTAATCCCGATTAAGGACTGTTCGTAGAAGGGGAAGCATCCCAAGATTTGGGCCTTGTGATGGGGTGCAGGAATCCTAAACTTCCAAGCAGCCAAGCGCCGAGCGCGCCTTCACCGCCCATAAATTCGGTCGCATCCCTCGGCCCAAAAGCAACACACATCAACACACACACACACACACATACAGAGACACAGACCGACACGCAGACACAGACACAGACACTGAGACACACTTTTCTTCAATGTAATATATATATATATATATATACATACGCACGTATATACATATGTATATATATATGTATATATATATATATATATATATATATATTTGTTTATTTATTTATACATTCTTTATTTGATTGTAAAGTTCATTGTCTATTCTGAGAATACGTAAACAGTTATAATGAAACAAATATAACAACGACAACGGTACTAAAAAACATAATACTAAAAATACAAAACAAGAGTAGTAGCAAGAAACTATACTGATACAAGGCCAGCAAGCAGGCAAGCAAGCGAGCAAGCAAGCATATCAATACACACACACACAAACACGCGGTTTAGGGTTTAGGGTTCATAGAGTTTAGGGTTTCACACACACACAGACACAGACACAGACAGAGACAGAGACAGAGAGAGAGAGAGACACGCACAGACACATAGAGACACACAGAAGGACAACCCAACGCCTGCCGTCCGATGCCCCTAAACCCTCTAAACCCTTTTTGAAACACTGGTCAAACCCTCCAAGCCCTTAGCAGCTGAGCTTCAGACACACTAAACTAGGATGGCCCTTAAAACCCTCTGAAAAAACATTGCAGGAATGTGATCCTCTTGAACCCCCAGTAAGGGAAAATGTAACATGTCCCAAGGCCCTACCTAGTACAGGAAGCCTTAAACCCTAAACCCTAAACCCTCCTAGTAAAGGAAGGCCCAGCTGCGGGTGCTCCTTGCCAAGCCAGGCGCCCTCGGCCTTGGCCTCCTCAGCCATCTTGACTTCGGGCTCGCCAGGGTTCTCAGCCTCCCAGGGCCCCCGAAGTTAGGGGCCTAAATCCTAGGGGCCTAAACCCACCCTGAACCCTAAACCCTAAACCCTAAACCCAGGTACCTTAGAGGGGGTCCTTTTTAAAAGGTGATCCTACTATTTGTGGGTTTAGAGCTTACATATAGGGCGTAGTGGGGCTTGTCATCCTCCTCCCTAAGCCTAAACGGCCCTAAACCCCAAACCCCAAACCCCAAACCCCAAACCCTAAACCCTAAACCCTAAGCCTAAACGGCCCTAAACCCTAAACCCGAAACCCCTCTTCTGGTCTGGACGGTCCCGGCCTTCGGTGGGCTCGCGTCCGAGGCCCGGCTCTCTGAGCTGCTACAGCAGCCCATGGGAGCAGCTCACGAAGCGAGGCACAGGGCCGTGGATAGTTGGATAGATTACGGAGGGTGCTCTTCGCAGTTCAGAAAGCTTTTTGGGACTTCCCTTCAGGGTGCGGCGGCTTTCTGGCGCTGAGAACGGGAGTTTTTGTGAATCACGTGTGCACGATGCGAATTCAGCAAAGGGGAAGGCATCGAATGGGCTGAACGACACCAAAACAAGACGTCGGGTGCTGTGCACTCATGCAGGCGCAATCTGCCAAAGAGTGTTGCAATGCTCTTCATTCACTACTGCTCTCCGTTGCTGGACACTCATGCTGAGATGCGGAGGGTTTAGGGTTTAGGGTTTAGGGTTTAGGGATTAGGGTTTAGGGTTTGGGGAGATGAGACCAGATAAGAGGAGCAGGCCCTACAGGCAACCACCCAGGCTTCAGGCTTCGAGGTCTCTGGATCTCAAGTCAGCCAACCAGCCCCAAGCATCACACTCCTAGACCCGGGAGTAACCTAGGAATAAAACGGGTTTAGGGTTTAGGGTTTAGGGTGGTTTTAAGGGGATTATAAGGGAACCCCAACCCTAACAAAAGGATAAAACAAAAAAAAACATACTCCCGGTCCTAGACTCTCTGAAATCACACTTCATTCTACTTGGAGGTTCATGGGTACTTAGAAGCAGGGCTAGAAGTACCCTGAGTAAGGTTATAACCATAGTTACGCCACTTATAACCCTACTTACTACTACCCGTGAGCCTCCATGCTACCTACTCCGAAGTGAACGCTTCGCTGCCGACCCCTCGGTGTGATGCGAATACTTGGGCTGCAAGTTTGGGGCTTAGGGTTTAGGGTGGCGGCTGGTCTTCTAAGACTGTGGCGCAGGAACAGAACTTGAAGCATGTTCAGCTGCCGCCTCAACACAAGTAAGTGCCACAAGTAGCCATCTGATGCGGTTCAAGCCGAAATGCGAGCTTCATTGAGCCTGGCTCCCACGTAGTCCGCCAATCACCCCTAACGGCAACACGGCAATTAAACCCACAAGGCCTGCTGGGCGAGTGCATGGACATCACCCAGGCAGGTGAGCGGGTCCCCATCTGGCCTCAAGCACGAGGTGGACATGTTACTAACCAAGCAAAGGTTGGATGTGGGGTGCTGTTATCAAGACTGCGTCCCCAAGCTGCCAATCGATCCATTCAGCCTGCCTACTTGCTCCTGCCAAAAAAGGGCCACAAATCTTCAGCCCCACAACTGCGTGTGGCTGCACCTTCTGCGAGAAGCGTACCCAAAAGCGCTAACCCTAAACCCTAAACCCTAAACCCTAAACCCTAAACATCATCTTTTGGAGCCTTCAGCACCCAGTGCCACTATCTTGATGTCTGCTGAGGTGCTCGAAAACATCGTCTCTCGCTGGGGCAATTGGCGTCCTGCCAAGGAGAAAAGACACAATGACAGGGTACAAGAGGTACCAAGTTAGAGTCTTATTTGAGGAACCTACGACTTCTTAGTAGGTTTCCAATCAACGCCTGCGAAAAACAGGGGCCGCGGCACAATCGGAGATCCTTCTGCCACCCTTTGGCATCCAGGTCTCTTGCAGCCTGTAGAGCTTAGCTAAAACCCGCAAACCTGTCAGCCCTGAGCCCTGCTAAACTCTAAATCCCACCAAAAACTCACCAATTTGAACCCGAAACTCCTAAACCCTACCAAGGTTCCCACTCTAAAACAAAAACCCTAAATCCTAAACCCCCCCCCAAAAGTCCTTTCCAAGCAGCCGCAGCCTTCATAGCGGCCTGGCCGACACTTCGCTCCCGCATTTTGAAGTTGAGGGTACCCTAAAGCCTGAACCCTAGCCCTAAACCCTAAACCCTAAACCCTAAACCCTAAACCCCTTCGCATCCGGACTTGGGCAGTCGGCCTAAACCCTAAACCCGAGCACCCAAAACCCCAAAAGGCCGTGAAGCTGCTGGAACGCAAGCTCATCAAAACCTTGAGCTCTGAGGTTCACAGGGTGGGGCCCCCTAGTTATAAGTAGAGTTATAAGGGCCCTAAATTGGGTTATAAGGACCCTAAGTTAGGTTATAAGTCCCTTAACTACAGTTAGTATAGTAAGGGGGCCCCACCCTGCAGATTCCATGAAGTACCAGACATGAAACTAGACCCAAGAGTAACCTAGGTATAAAGAGGGTGCCCCTTTCTGCTCTAAAGGGGATAAGAAGGGACCCTAAACCCAAAAAAAGGGAATAAGTGCCCACTCCGGGTGCTAGGAGGTCAGTTGTCTGCAAGAGCCGACGTCTCCCGTTCCCCCTACGATCCCCAGGTGTCTTTGCATCCGCCGCAAGGAGAGAGGGTGCCCTTCTTCAACAAGCTAGAATTCCAACTACAGGCAGCTACCAGGAGGGGCTATTTGAGTTTAGGGTTTAGGGTTTAGGGTTTAGGGTTTAGGGTGTAGTGTTTAGGGTTTAGGGCTTATAGTCAACCCTATACCCCATAAAGCGCCCTTTTTGAGGGGGGGGTTTTGAGCTACGAGGGTAATAGCCAATCCTGGTACCTGCCCCCTGCCAAGCGCAGGGTTGACCTCATGTCAGACGGTAGAAGTGATGGCTCCTACAAACAGCACCCAAGCAAGCAAGCTTCAAGGAATAGCTCCCAGAAACTCACATCAAAGACCCCCACAAAACCTTCTTCAGGTATGCATGGGCTACCTCAGGGGCTTACATGATTAGAATAGCATTCTTGCTTCTGTTCTTTCTTTCTTTGTGTTGTGGGGAGGGGATGGAGGGGTATTCGGGGCTACTTATTCCAGTCTTACCATATGGGGACCATATGGGACTACTTTTGGGATCTCTTCCGACCCCTACGTCACATCCGGACAAGCTCGCGTCTCATGGCTGCAGGGCTCGCTGCAGCGCGGGGCCAAGGTGCGAGTGGACGTAGGCGGGGCTCCTTCGGCTCTTTGAGGGTGGGTACGTGGTCCCTTCGTATAGGCCCTTAAAAGGCTACCCCCTAGAAACCCCTCATTCTACCCTATATGAATTAAGGGCCCATACATTAGAACCCCTTAAAGGAGGTTAGAGACCATATTAAGGGCACATGAAACTACCCTCAGAGATTCTAAAGGCCCCAAGCCCTAGGGTCTGGTGGGTTTAGGGCTTAAAAAAGGGGATTAGGGCTTCTAGGAGTTTAGGGGGGCGCGGTATTATAGGAGGTACCAGGGGCTTAGGGTTCAGGTTGTCGTGCCAAGCAGACCCAGACTTCCCTAAGGCCCTGCACCCGAAAACATTACACCCCCACACCTTATATCTTCCTTACTAGGAAGCTTCATGCATTCCCTCTTAGACAACTGAATGTTGATGAGGCCACAGCCCATGAAACATCGTGAAGCCAATCATCTAAAATGGGGTGCCTTTTCGTGGATTCGGATGCCTCTGCTGGTTCAAACCCTGCGGTTTAGGGTTTAGGGTTTGGGGTTTAGGGTTTAGGGCTTCGGGCCTGGGGTCTAGGGGCTTCAGGGTCAGAATCAGGAGCAAAAACCCCAAGCCCGAGACCCTCACCTTACTCGAGACCCAGGGGATGGAAGACCTTGGTAACTTCTCTCAAAGCCGGGGATCCGTGCTAGGGTTCAGGGCTTTGGGTGATCCTGAAAGAACTAGTTCTTGCCCTAAACCCTAAACCCTAAACCTCAAACCCTAAACCCTAAACCCTGGAGACTCCCCAAACCGTCCCAAGCCCTCTCACAAATTGCGCGGCCGCGGCGCAGATGCGTGCCATCCAGGCGAAGCTCGGGGAGCACCTTGAGGGAGTTGAGCTCGGTTCCTGGCATCCCAGGGTTTAGGGTTTAGGATCTAGGGTTTATAGGGTTTAGGGTTTAGGGTTTAGGGTTTAGGGTTTAGGGTTTAGAGTTTGGGGTTTTGGGTGTTCCTGGCATCCCAATCTGTGGGTTTCTGCAAGCACTCTCTGCAGCAGCAGGCTTCACGCCAGGGTTTAGTGCTTTAATTTAGGTAAGTTTAGGGTTTACGGTTTTGACAAGGGTTTAGGTAGGGTTTTCGGGCTCAGGGTTTGGGCTGAGGAGGGGTTTAGGGTTTCGGCTTTAGGGCTTGAGAATGCTTAGGGTTTGGGGCTTATCGGGTCGATAAGATTCTATTGTACGGCTTTTGGGGCTCCAACCCTAAACCCTAAACCCTAAACCCTAAACCCTAAACCCTCAACTGTAAGGTTTCGGGTGTAGCGGTCCTTAGGTCCCAGTGCCAGAATTCTTCTTTGCGTTTAGAGTTTCTTGATCTAGGGTTTAGGGTTTAGGGTTTAGGGGTTTTGGAGGGGATGCTCAAAAGGTACCAAGGCACCTGTCATAGCACGAGCCCTTTCGTATCTACCCGGAACCCGAAAAACATTACCACACTCCAGCGCAAAGACCTCCCCCCACCCCCGCATGCTCTACTATACAACCTTGCTGCAACAATACTACTTAGATTTTGCTTGAGTTTCCCTAGACCCCAAACCGTAAACCCCTAACCGCCCTAACCCCCTGAACCCCTATACCCCTACACCTGTGAGCCCTAACCTCCTGAACCCTAAACCCCTGAAGCCCTAACCCGCTACACCCTAAACCCCAGACCTAAACCCTAGGATTCTTACACAAAAACCTAAACACCTAAACACCTAAGCCCTTAACCCCTAACCCCTAACCCTAAACCCCCTAGCGTCTTACACAAAACCCCTCAACTCCTACGGACAAACGTGTCTCAGGAGCCTCGTCGGCCTGCCACTGCCTGAGGCCCACCCTCGTAGATACCTTGGAGATGGCACTTCAAGGCAAGGTTTAGGGTTTAGGGTTTAGGGATTAGGGTCTAGGGTTTCGGGTTTAGGGTTTCGGGAACTTACAAGTACGGTTTACAGTGCCGAGGCTCCAACCAGTTGTAAGTGTAGTTACCCTACTTGAGTCCCCACTTCTACTCATCAGAGGTGTCCGGAAATCTAAACCTTACAAACGCGCAGGAACCTCCAAGTACTGGCGGCCTGAATGTAGGAGCTTGTCGGGCCAGGGCGAAATGCAAGTCTGGGCACAGTCTTCTGCTCGGAGGTAGGTGCTGTATGTGGTGTTTCTTGGTTCTGCGTGGTTTCTGTCGTGTTTCCAGGGGCTGGGAGTGAGGGATTCGGACTTAGTGCTTCCATGGGTGGGAGTGAGGGATCAGTGGCTCATGCTCATGGCGCAAGAGTTATGAAGGCCGGTGTTCTCTTTATCTGTTACCCTCATACCTTAATGTAGCCCCAAGAAGAACCCCGAATAGATGCCCCTGTAAACAGAAACCCTTCTTAAAGAGACCACCAACCCATATAACCTAAACCCTAAACCCAAAATCGGAAACCCAAAACCCAACAAGAACGAGGAAAAAAGGGGGACCACCGGGGAGAGAGGTGTTTTTTGCCAGGGCTGTCCACCGAAGCCAAGGATGTTCACGAGCTAGCCAAGCCACAGTCGAGCGTGAGAGATTTGACTCGCACCTGCCAGGGCCACGGAGCAAATCCATGAAGGCAGTTTGGGGAGGGAACCCCAAACCCTAAACCCTAAACCCTAAACCCTAAACCCCTGAACTCATGGGTGTTCGGCTCCCTGCGGTCCCTGACCAGACCTAGGAGTAGCCTAGGACAAAAAAGGGTTTAGGGTCTAGGGCTTTTTGGGTTTTCAAGTGGATTGTAAGGGAACCTACACCCTAAAAAAACGGGGAAGGAGGGCCTACTCTGGGTCCTAGTTACCCTAAACCCTAAACCCTAAACCCTAAACAAAATATGCCCGGAGCTTCGTGCAGCCGCCTTATCGAGGGCGGCCAGGCAGGGCGCTGCCTGGAGCAAGCTGTTGAAGGCCATCGTCAGGAAGCCTGGAGGCTGCTGCATGGGTTGTTGAAGCTTTCCCCCCCCTCTAAACCCTAAACCCTAAACCCTAAACCCTAAACCCTAAACCCTAAACCTAAACCCTAAACCCTAAACCCTAAATCCTAAATCCTTTTTGAGCACGGACTGAGGAAGCTGCCGGCAACCTGATAGCAGAGCCTTAACCCGAAACCCTTTTTTCAACGAGGGCTCTCTCAACCCTAAACCCTAAGCCCCCCCCCCCCCCCCCCCCACAAAAAAAAAGTTAAGATAGGGGACCCAAACTGCCAGCTCTGGCCTAGTGGGCCTGCGGTGTGGAAGTGTACGCACGGAGGCGTTGCGTCAAGGTGTCTCATGGATGGATAAAAAAACTGCACGGGCGAGTTCCCAACGCTTGAGAGTGTACGAGTTCACATCATCTCCCGAAGGTCTGCAATGCGTCGTAAATAGCAACATCCGAAAACCTAAGCCCTAAACCCTTCAACTCTAACCCCTCAACTCTAAACCCTCAACCGCAAACCCTAAACCCCTTACTCCTCAACCCTAAACCCTAGCCCTCAACCCCTCAACCCTAATCAGGTGCTGACACAGACATAGTCAAGGGTCGGGTCTCCGGAAGCACTGTCGGCCTCTGGTTTCGGGTTTAGGGTTACAGGGTTCAGGGTTTAGGGTTACAGGGCTACAGGCTAGGGGACCGGGTTTAGGGCTGCACGGTTTCTAGGACTTCCAGGGTTTGAAAGGGTTTTCTAGACAGGGCTTGCGGGGTTGATGGAGCTGATGGTAGGTAGTATTTCTATGGTTTCTAGGGTTTCATAGACAGGGCTTGTGGGGCTTATAGAGTTTATAGGGTTTGTTATGGGGCTTCAGGGTTTTATAGACAGGGTCATCGGATGTACAGTTTACGGGGTCAGAGAGGGTTTTAAATGTCGGAAGACCCCTGCAAAAAGACATAGCAATATAGGTTAGCAAGGCCGGTGGCCTCTTTGTATGTGACCCTGGGACCTGAATAAGGCCCCAAGATACCCCAATAAGAACCCCGAATGAATGCCTCAGAACCCTAATTCAAGAGACCACCAACCCATGTAACATATGGGCTTTATAGCAGGCTCAAGTTGTTGGGTTTCGAATATTGCTTAAGGCCGCGGCATACTCTTAAGGAGGTTGAGGGTGGATGGCTTCATGTTTAGGGCAGTTGAGGGTATTTCGACTCTTGCCTGTGGCAGCCGCACCTCAGACTACCGGGCTGGAAAGCTGGTCTATCGCAGGCCTCACCCCTAAATACCCTGAACCCTAAACCCTAAACGCTGACCGAAGGTTCGCGGTTTGTTTGCGGAGGATGGAGGGTTTGGGGCTCCGGGGTGGGTTTGGGGGGGGGGGCCCTAGAAAAATCAAGATTTCTATAGGTTCATAGGAACTTTAGAAAACCCTCCCCAAAATCCCTAAACCAGCCTCAACCCTGAAAAATCAGCTTAGGGTTTAGGGTTTAGGGTTTAGCGCTTGGGGTTAAGGGTAGGCTTTAGGGACTGAGAAGTCCTACGGCATTTCCAAGGGGCCACTTTGGGGCTTTTGTTTTTGCCACCTGCCTAGCTGCCTAGCTGACACTCACGACGCAACGCACGGCACGTCCCTACTCAGGGTTTAGGGTGTTATCTCCAGTTCCCGAAACAGTAAACCCCAAACCCTAAACCCTAAACCCTAAACTGGCCCTAAACCCTAAACCCTAAACCCTAAACCCTAAACCCTAAACCCTAAACCCTACTGCCAGGCGGCACGGGGTGGATGAACAGGTCGTTGTGTACGAGCTTCCTCCGTACTTGCTTCAGGACTTCGGTGTAATGCCTCGATGGATGAGCTGAAGCCAAAAGGGTTTAGGGTTTAGGGTTGAGGGTTTGGGGTTTAGGGTTTTTGGCTTGAGGTTGATAAGGATGATAATACCCCCTATTAGAATCCCTATTCAGGACTGCTTTTTTTGAAAAGGGAACATCCCAAGCTTCAGGGTTAGAATGGTTCAGGGCCGCAGAAAATAGGGTTTAGGGAAAAGGTTTTGGGTTTAGGGCTCCCACCTGGCTGGACTGACCCCACTTCGCAGGGTGTGCGACACTATTCGGTACGAGACCTCCACAGAGAAATGAGACAGAGGTGGGGCCCATGCAAAACCAGTTGAACACCCCACTAGGGTTTAGGGTTTAGGGTTTAGGGTTCAGGGTTCAGGGTTCAGGGTTCAGCCAGAAACTGGAAGCACCCCCACATCCAGAACCCTGCCTAAACCCTCAACAGGAACTCCAAACAATTACTATAGACTACTGAATGACATAATACAAGGAGTATGGTTTGCAGAAGTACGAGGATCCCTCAAGAGGACACACCCTATACGCACTCAGCAGCATGTAGAAAAAAAGCCCTATAATGTGCACTCGCCAATGACAACACTATAAACCCTACTTCGTGTACTGGCTTAGTTGTCCAGTACCTAGGGGTTTTAAAGGTTAACCTTTGCGACTATAAGGGGAATATATTAACCCAAAAAGGTTGAAGGTTGCCTACTCTACTACTAAGCTGTAGCCCCTCGCCTAGAAACTGCTTAGGGTTTAGGGTCTCAAAAGTATTCCAGCCGCGGCACCCGATCAGGAGGTACAGCGCGTCCTCCACACTATCGTGCTTGCCCTGAAGAGATCAGCTCAGGACTCGTGGCTTGCTGCGGGCGTGCAGGCTTTCTGTCTACAACCCTGAAGCCGTCTGAGCCCTAGACCCTAATCCCTAAACCCTGAATCCTAAACCCTAAATCCTGAACCCTCAAACCCCTGCGGTCTGCGGTTTAGGGCTGTGAGCCGGTCAGCCTAACTCACCTGAAGGCCTTCTCACATGTCCCCGCTTTTCTAGACCCTAAACCCTAAACCCTAAACCCTAAACCCTAAACCCTAAACCCTAAATCCTAAACCCTAAACCCTAAACCCTAAACCCTAAACCCTAAACCCAACCCTAAGAGTACCTAGGAAAAAGGACTTGGGGCATACAAAGGGGCTTCGTAGGGAGCCTATAAACCCCAAAACGGGAACTCAGGGCCTACTCTGGGTCCATGGGTTTCCGGGGGGCGAAGTGCCTTTGGTTTAGGGTTTAGGGTTTAGGGTTTAGGGTTTAGGGTTTAGGGTTTAGGGTTTAGGGTTTAGGGTTTAGGGTTTAGGGTTCAATCAGGGCCTTTCCTGCTTTCCAGGCGGCCTTCTGGACGGCTTTGAGGACCCCCTCCCTGCAGTCAATCTCGCCCAAGAGGAACCTCCAAAGCTTTAGGGTTTGGGGTTTAGGGGTTTAGGGTTTAGGAACCTCCCAAGCCTTAGGGTGTAGGGCTTTAGGGTTTAGGGTTTAGGGAACTCGCTGTGCTGCACAGTCCTAGCAGGATGCGGGTGTCAGGGTTGCAGGGCTTATGGGGGTTAAAAGCGTCATCTTGGGCAAGCACGAGGCCGGCTTCATCTCTATCGCACTGCCTGGCAACACTGAGCCCCGAAACCCCCCCCCCCCCTCCCCAAAAAAAGTTAAACAGTGAAACCCTCAAACCCCTGAACCCCAAACCCTAAAACCTGCCTACACCCCAAACCCTAAACCCCAAACCCTAAGCCCTTACACCCAAACCGGAAACCTTAAACGTCCAGGTGTAGGGCGCTTTCCTTCGGCTTCGCGGGTCGAGGATGTGTAAGCAGCTTCGGGTTGTGCGCTGCGAGGCTTGTTGCATCCCCAACGACACTCTCCATCATCTACAACCCGAGGGTTTAGGGTTTAGGGTTTAGGGTTGTGTGAGTGTGTGTATGTGCGTGTGTGTACTTTTACGCTCACCAAAAACTACCAAAGTTATGTACACCCACCCGATCCCTCAACTGGAAAGCCCAAGACTTCATTGAGCCGTTTCAAGGAACGTAGAGCCTCAGGGCGTTGAGCTGTTTAGGGTTTAGGGTTTAGGGTTTAGGGTTTACTCGGCGCTACCTCTGAGCGTTTAGGGTTTAGGGTTTAGGGGCTTCGTGAGTTTCGAGGCTGGGGTGTATGAAAGGGTTCAGGCGCGGGAGTTCTTCGGTGCAACGTGAACTTAACCTCTCAGGGCCTTTATTGGGGGTAGTTCCATGGTCCCCTAGTACGAGCACTTAAATGGGGACCCCTCATACACCCCAATACCCGAAACCCTAACCCCAAGGGCCCCAATACTTCAGAACCCTTTAAGGAAGGCTATTGAAGGGACCCTGTAAATATCCTTAGAGCCGTAGGCTTACCATTGGGTCGGGTAAAGGGTTGAGGGTTGAGGGTTCAGGTTTCAGGTTTCAGGGTTTAAGGGGGCAGGCCAGTCTACATGTTACACCCTATATCAACCCTGAACTTCTTGGGATCTCAAGCCCCTAAACCCTAAACCCTAAACCCTAAACCCTAAACCCTAAACCCTAAACCCCAAACCCTAAACCCTAAACCCTAAACCCTAACCCTAAACCCTAAACCTAGGGGCCAAGGGGCATCACCGGGGCTTCTGCCGGAAGGGTGGCAAGCTTGTCCCAAAAGGCAGACCTCGGTGTTTTGACGATTGCGTGCTCACGTCAGATTTGGGGGCTTGGGAAGAGGGTTTAGGGTTTACAACGTCACTAGGGTTTAGGGTTTAGGGTTTAGGGTTTAGGGTTTAGGGCTTCAATCTAAGGCCTACAGGGGCAAGCGATGGTCTGGCCACCTACGCAATCGAGCAAGGTTGTTGCGTCGGGAGATGGGTGGCATACGTCGCAAGTGCAGCAGAAGCGTCTTCGTGTAGAAGGTGCTGTCCTTAGTTGCTGAGTTCATAAGCCCCCCAAAAAGTGTACACTTTCAATTCTATAGGGGGTTATAGTATCCCAAAAAGTGTAAAGTGTACTCACTCAGCTACTCAGTCTCCTCTCGCAGATGCCAGATCTTCACCCCTGTGACCAGGAGAGGTATCAGAATGTAATGGTGGCTGCCCTTCGTCGTCGTGAATTCCACCGTCTGCCAGGCAGTGGGCAAGACATGGGAATCCCCGATGACATACCTGAGTGGGTGACAATCAAGGTCAGGGACGTTTGAGGTTTAGGGAAACCCTAAACCCTAAACCCTAAACCCTAAACCCTAAACCCTAAACCCTAAACCCTAAACCCTCAAGGCTAGGAATCTCGGCCCTCAGGGGCCAGAGCACGGCAAATTCTGAAAGAGCCCACATGCAGCCGCGCACGCGACAAAGACCCTAGGTATCTGCACGTCTGCGGATGGTGCTTGCCACGCGCATCTCAAAGCAACGGAAGCAAGACATCGTAGCCGAGGCCTGACGGTGTGCTCGCCTCCCTTTGCCTGAAAAGGTCTAGTCTAGGTACTTATGGCCCAAAGGGGTCCACTTTCCTCACTCAACATCTCCGACGCTTTGTGGCTTCCCTATGAGCATACAGGGGGTGCAGGGCACCTGCGTGAAGCCTTCAGGAAGCCGTACACAACAAAAGTCCCTTGACATGATTTCTCGGTACCGCTAAGAGGGCCATGACGATGAAACTGGTGACCCCGAAGGGGCGTGCGGTGATATACCCTGTTTGAAGGCTCATTTATAGGTGCGGTTATGAGTCAGGTCATAAGTAACTAAACCTCATAGTTACACCATTTAAAAACCCCAGCTTCTAAGTACTACAGTAAAGGGGCTTAGCACATCATGTGATGGTAGGTGGCTCGAACTTCCATAAAGTACCCCAGAAGGGGACCACAATTCAGAGAGCTGCCCATATACTGGGATGTTCCCGCCTTATACTCAGAGTACGTAGTGGAAATTCTAGTACCCCGTACTATAATCCCTATTAAGGACTGTTAGTATAAAGGGGGAACAGCCCAAACCCTAAACCCTAAACCCTAAACCCTAAACCCTAAACCCTAAACCCTAAACCCTAAACCCTAAACCCTAAACGACTAAACCCCAAAAGGTCAGCACAAGATTCGTTCCCAGGTGCAGGGGCCGAAACAGAGCTGGACTTCGGGGCACCGACGCCGGTGCCTTGATGGCGAGAATGTCCTGACAGCAATGCAAGGGTTTAGGGTTTAGGGTTTAGGGTTTAGGGTTTAGGGTTTAGGGTTTAGGGTTTAGGGTTTAGGGTTTAGGGTTTAGGGTTTAGGGTTTAGGGTTTAGGGTTTAGGGTTTAGGGTTTAGGGCTCACGACCTAATGGTTGTAGACATCGATGCCCTGCTTATAACGCTACTTCTTATTAAGATCCCATAAACTCCGAGTCGGCGACCTTGTTTGGCTCCACAAGGGTACAAGACCCAAGGCTTACAGCAACAAAGGGTGGACCCCTCGCACTCCCTACAACCTAAGTCTGAGGTTCTTGTCTTATGAAGTCTTTACTTGACGTTACTTAGAAGTAGGGTTCATAGTTGCCTCACATACAACCCTACTTATTTGTACCCTCTGCAACTCCGAGTATGGCCAATTTGAAAGAGACCGCAATTTCCCTAAACCCTGAACCCTAAACCCTCAGCCCTAAACCCTAAACCCGTGTCCTTGATGCAGTTGAAGTAGGCATTCTCGTTTCGGACCGCTGTGAGATGAAGCTCGAGGCCCTGGCAACGAGGATGTCTAAAGCTAGAAGTGTGGGTTTAGGGTGTAGGGTTTAGGGCGTTATAGGGTTTTAGCCTCTTTGTTTTGCACATACCCTTGGGGCTTCACTATATAAAGAAACATATTGCACTTATTCTTGAGGAGGCGACAGTGGTGGGTTTCGTTGTATAGGGTTCAACACCAGACTCGCACCTGGCAGTGTCAATGTGCAAGGTACTCAGAAATCATAGTGTGTACGATTCTCATATAATAGAACATAGATACAACATACATATACACAAACATACACAAACAAGTACAGGAAAACCATAAAGCTGCTTGCTTGTGTTTATCTACCTATATATATATATGTATACATTGCCATTGTCTTTCTACGTTTTGGGACCTTGTTATGAAGCCAAAGGCCCTACTTACCCATCTCAGGATCTATAACGTAGATCCCGGATCCCCCTTTAAAGGCTCCTACTCATGAAGTACCTCCAAGTGATTCAGGGTACTAACTTACAGAGCTCTACTTTCTAGAAATTCCTTGCCGGGGTGTAGCCACGGTCAACACGCAGCACGTAGAAGATGACAAGCCCGCCCTGAACCCTGAACCCTGAACCCTAAACCCTAAACCCTAAACCCTAAACCCTAAACCCTGAACCCTAAACCCTAGACCCAAGCAGAGAACAGAAGCGGCCATCGCAGCGCCTCGCAGCACTTACTCAGCCTCGGCTGCCAAAGAAAATGGCATCCCCAAACAAGGGCTCCTAGACCTCTGAGGGTTTAGGGTTTAGGGTTTAGGGTTCAGGGTTCAGGGTTTAGGGTTTAGGGTTTAGGGTAATCGGTTTAGGGTTCAAGGCTTCGTCCGGGCTTAGGGGTTAGTTGTGTTTCCCCATCTTTCAGTTATAGGCTACTTTGACCTTGTGGACCCTTAACCCTAAACCCTAAACCCTAAACCCTAAACCCTAAACCCTACACTTTCGACTCGAAGGCTTCTGGCGCAGGCGAGGCTCAGCGCCACCAGCCACCGCAGCACCTTCCAGGTACTCTCGGGATTTGCAAGATCGCTATAAGGTGCCTTGGGGCTTTTGGGGCTTCTTAGGGCTTACTTAGGGCTTCTTAGGGCTTCTTAGGACCTCTTAGGGCTTTTGGGGGCTTAGGGCTTCTTAGGGCTTCTTAGGGCTTCTTAGGGCTTCTTAGGCCTTCTTAGGGGCTTCTTAGGGCTTACTTAGGGCTTACTTAGGGCTTAGTGCTCAGGGCTGAGGATGCAAGACCAAGTTTAGGCTTCGGTGACTTCAAGAGCTTTACGCTCGTACGGGGCTTTACTACTCGCGGCCCCAGAAGGACACCTCCTATCTATCTATCTATGTATAATATATATATATATATATATACGGTAGCATATATATATATATATATACATATATACGTATGACCATCTATATATACACACACGCACCGCAGCCTCACACTAAGTACTTAGATGTTCATGGGTACTTACAAGTTACGTCACAAGTCGGGTAACGATGGTCAACCCTAGGACGAAGCCCTCTCGCTGCACGCCAAACTCTGTTCCCAATTTTTCGCTTCTTCGCCGGGGGTCCGCAGAAATCAGAGTAGCAGCTAGGGGTTCGGGTTTAGGGTTGAGGGTTTACGGCTTAGGGTAGTAAGAGTAGCCATCATATTCTGTACACAAGGTCTTCGTTGTCCAGTGCCTAGGGGTTTTAAAGGTTAACCTTTGGGACTATAAGGGGAATATATTAACACAAAACGGCTAAAGGTTACCTACTCTACTACTAAGAGGTAGGTAGAACAATCAAGCCCCGCCCTCATCGGTCGCCTGGTCGTGGGCTGCGATGGCGCCCAGCCGGGGTGCCGCAGCATTGACGGCTTCTGGGGGCCGTCGCCAGTTGTCCTCTGAAGCGCGCTTGGGGTTTAGGGTTTGGGGTTTAGGGTTTGGGGTTTAGGGGTTTAGGGGTTTAGGGGTTTAGGGGTTTAGGGGTTGAGGGGTTGAGGGGTTTAGGGTTTAGGGCGCAGGGTCTAAAGTCTATGGCCACCCGCGCTTTGTGATAAGGCCTGGGAAGGAATCGGCGAAGCGGTCGAAATTTGGGGCTCAAGGTCTGGTGCGGCGCCCCCCACCCCCGCCTCCCCGAAGGAACAGACCTAAAATCAAGTTCGGCGCCCCGAAGACCTACAGTCAACTTTACGCAGATGGCTTCAAGTGCTTTCAGAACCATCCCTTTCCCCGTGAACCCATGAATAGCCTTGAATGTTAAGTATTCCTCACAGTAGTATTTTACGCACTTGCATGCTCTGATGTACGAGATCCATGGATCCTAATGGGATACCACAGGATGCCAGGGATTGTGGCGCGATTTAAACGCAAGTGAAGGGGTTCAGCGTGGGAAAACTGACTTTGGCAGTTACGCGACAGCTTGGGTTCCGCAACATCTCCAACCGCAAGGGACGTAAGACAATGCAAAGCTTCCCTCTCCCACCACGTGCAGGAGTGAGGGCTTCTTGTTCTGCCGTTTAGGGTTTAAGAATTCAAGAAATCACCCCTATCTAAGAAACCCTAAACCCTAAACCCTAAACCCTAAACCCTAAACCCTAAACCCTAAACCCTAAACCCTAAACCCTTGGAAGTAAACGTCTGGCAGTAACCCTCAGGAAGGCCAGAGAATCATCCAAGGGGCATCCAGCAAGCTAGCTACCTCCCGAATGCGCAGGGCCATCCCGGGTTAGGGGTTTAGGGTTTAGGGGTTAGGGTTTAGGGTTTAGGGTTTAGGGTTTAGGGTTCAGGGTTTAGGGTTTAGGGTTTAGGGTTTCCCGGGTGTGGGGGTTAGGGGTTTAGGGGTTTAGGGGTCTAGGGGTCTAGGGGTTTAGGGGTTTAGGGGTTTAGGGGTTTAGGGGTTTAGGGGTTTAGGGGTTTAGGGGTTTAGGGGTCTAGGGGTTTAGGGGGGGTTTAGGGGTTTAGGGGTTTAGGGGGGGTTTAGGGTTTAGGGGTTTAGGGTTAGGGTTAGGGGTTTAGGGGTTTAGGGTTTAGGGTTTAGGGTTTAGGGTTTAGGGTTTAGGGTTTAGGGTTTAGGGTTTAGGGTTTAGGGTTTAGGGTTTAGGGTTTAGGTTTTAGGGTTTAGGGTTTAGGGTTTAGGTTAGGGTTCAGGGTACTGGTTCACCGACTGAGAGGCTTGACCTCAAACGCTCATTGCGGCCGTCTGAGACCGTCTTGAGGATAGGAGAGACTCAGTCGAAGGTTTCCAGGCATGCCGGCGCAGACAAAGGAACCAAGGATGTCGGGGTACAGAGAAGCGAAGCCTGCAGTGTTCCCTCTTATACTAACAGTCCTTAGTGGGGATGAAAAAATGGGGTAAACCCTAAACCCTAAACCCTAAACCCTAAACCCTCAACCCTCAACCCTAAACCCTTAACCCTATTAAGGACTGTCCGTTCAAGGGGGAGCATCCCAAGGTCTACGCCAGGCACTTGGCCTGCGGCCCGACAATCTCCTCAGAGACCTCGATGTCGCGAAGGCGCCTCTCGGGGCATTCCCGGTCTAGGATTTAGGGTTTAGGGTTTAGGGTTTAGGGTTTAGGGTGCAGAGAAGTCTTGAAGCCGGGTGTGTGGCGGGGAGTGGGGTTCTTAGCTTGATCTTTGATTTTGGTAGGGTTTCGGGATTTGGGTTTGCGGGTTTAGGCGACAGGGTGGCCCTTGAAGCTTCGGGGACTGATCGGGTGGTAGGGCTTGGGGGGTAGAGCTTCAACATTATGAACCTTAAGCCCTATTATAAACCCTAAATCCTAAACCCTAAACCCTAAACGCGTCCCGCTTTGGGCGAACTGCTGCCAGGCGTCTGCTGCCAGGAAGGCCTACCATCGCCCTCCTGGATCCAGAAAGAGCCCGCAGATGCACTAAGCTGGGAGGTTCGCAAGGGCACTTGCAAGTAGGTCTTAGGGTTTAAAAGGGTTTAGGGTTAGGGTTTAGGGTTTAGGGCACGGATAAAGGAGTCAAAAGTAGGGCAACTATGGTACACATAACCCTGCATATCGGTACCCATGAACCTTCAAGTAAGGTAGGGTAGTTACACGGTCCCTTAATATGGGCCCCCAAGAGGGGAACCCACATATACCCCTGATATTTTTTCTATACAACCCAAGGGCCCATACTTCAGAACGCTTTTTTCAAGAAGGGTAAGGGACCATATTAAGGGCCCATCTTGCCCTAAATCCTTAACCCTAAACCCTTTTTAACCCTAGCTGCCCCAAGGGCCCATGCAACTACCCTTAGATGATCCCAAACATTAAAACCGTAACCCATGGTGGCCCAGGAACCGCATTATCGCCCCTAAACCCTAAACCCTAAACCCCAAACCCCAAACCCTAAGCCCTAACCCTAAACCCTTTTTGGGGTTGGTTACTTTCTCAGGGAACCTGCTGAACCCAACAAAACATAGGGCCAGAAAGGCTGCCGCCGACCCGGAAGGCCCTAAAAATCCTCAGCACGACACCCCTTAGCTGCACATGGCGCGGCGAAACCCCGCCCTAAACCCTAAACCCTAAAACCTAAACCCTAAACCCTAAACCCTAAACCCCAAACCCGCAACCCTAAACCCTAAATCCTAAACCCTAAACCCCAAACCCTGTCCTGACAGAAGGGCAGCGGCGTCCGCGGGTGCGCCAGAAACAGGAACTTGAGAACGACGAAGCCGATGGCGATGGCGTCCTGTCAGAGGAGCGCCCGGTCAGCAAGAAGGGACCCTGACCTGCCCTCTTAGTTACCTTGTAGAACGCGTACATAGCTAGCTATCTATCTATATGCATATCTCTATATATATATACATATCTATGAATAGACACGTACATCTACACTCCTACACATATCTGTATGCATGCATGCATGTATGTGCGTGCATGTGATGTGTGTATATGTATAGAGTACACCTTACATCTTGGCTGCACTTTGCTACCATGGTGAGATGAACTTTCTACCCACCTCGTTCAGAAACGAAGGAAGCCCCTGAAAGACGCAGGACCCAGAGTACTTTTTTGAGTTCAGGTGCCCCCCTAAACCCTAAACCCTAAACCCTTATAAGCCCTTTGAACCATTTGGGCCACCCTTCTTGTTCCTCTGGTCTAGGGGGCTGCTAACATGAACCCTAAACCTCATGAAAACTCTAAAGCCCCTTTGGTGGCAATATTCGTTTGCAAGAATTTGCGGTCTCTCCCCCCAAACCCCAGCCGAAGCCCTGACTCTGTGTCTGCGACACTTCAGGGCTTTCTGGTTTTGTCAGGGTTTTGGGGGGTTTGGGGCGGCCGCCCATGCGCCCTGCCGGTGTTGCAGGTGTTGAATCACTAGGTGTCTGCGGCTCCGTTCTGTGACCTTAGCCCCCCCAATTTATTACGGGTGGGGGGGGGGGCCTCTGGCAAACAATCGCTGGGGAGCAGTGCCCTAAACCCTAAACCCTAAACCCTAAACCTAAACTCTAAACCCTATTTGCGGCTTGGCGGCTCGGAACTCATTCTCTGCAGGGAAATCTTTCGGAGAGAACATTCTTTGCTTGGTGTCTGGCCTCAGATACTTAGAGGTTCATGGGTACGTATAAGTAGGGTGGGTGAAGTAAGGTAACTCTGGCTAGCACCTTGCTTAGGGGTACTTCTAATGCTACTTATATGTGCAAATGAAGATTCAAGTAAACCTCTGTCTTTGCCAACCTCTACTACACCCAAACCCTAATCCGCCGACACCGCTGCTGGGTCGAGCGCCGGGGAAGCCTCTTGCATGTCGAAAACCTCCGCACACCGACGTAGCCAGTAACCATGCCGCAATTTAGGGTTTAGGGTTTAGGGTTTAGGGTTACGCCACCCTTCGTTCCTCTGGTGAGTCTTGTCTAGGAACCCAGATATCTTGGTAGCCCAGTAACCATACTCAGCCAGGGCACCTTTTTTGGTGTGGGGTATAAATATTAGGTGCCGTATTACAATAGGGATCCCAAAAAAGGGACCACCATTTTGACAACCACCCTTATGAAGCATAAGAGCATCAGGGCTGGCCCCTCATCTTTTAAGCCAGATCCTTGTGAGTTACAAAGCATGCAAGACATCCCAAACGCCCAGCTAGACCTAAACCCTTAACCCTATAAGGGTTTAGGGTTTAGGGTTTAGGGTTTAGGGTTTAGGGTTTAAATCTAGGGTTTCGGGTTTAGGGTAACCCCTATACCTAAGGCTACACCATCCGAGGTGCTCTTCGCTGAGCAGAGCCCGGTTGAGCGCCGCCACGCGCGGCACAGACCGGGCCAGTAGTCCTTTGTCAGGCAGAAATCGTCGCAATGAGGGCTTAGGGTTTCGGGTTTGGGGGGTTAGGATGTAGGTTTAGGCCCCACAGCTATATGAAACCAAGGAATTAGGCCAAGCGCCATGTTTATGGACCTTCAAGCGATTTCGGGTTTGAGTTTAGGGCTTCGCTTGGTAGCCCAGTAACGGCCCAGTAACGATATTATTGATAAGGGCACCTTTTTTTGGGGGCTTGGTTGCTTTATAAGGGAACCTTGAAACGAAAAAAGGGAACATGGTACCACTGAGCGACCAAGTTAGGACTTGGGGCTGTTTGGGGTTTAGGGTTTAGGGTTTAGGGTTTAGGGTTTAGGGCTTAGAGTTTATAGGTCTTGGTGTGCACGCCGTCTGCTGCAGGGCTTAGTGGGTAATTCGGAGGTTTTGTAAGAGCTCAGACAGTTCAGAGCCATGTACCAACTCAGGGAAGTCTATGAAGTTATTTCCTCAGATTTCAGGCTTAGGGTCAAGGGCTTAGCGTTTAGTGTTTACTTAGGGTTCTTGCTTGGGGTTGGTTCAGCTTCGGTGCTTTGGTGGAGGCTGCTTGGGGTAAGGGAAACGGTTTATGTCAAGAGGAAAGGGTGATTCCGTGAGTAAGCAATCTCTAGAAACCTACTGAAGGGCCTTAACAACTGGGGGTTAGTATAGTATACTTACAAACGGACCAAAAGGGAATACTATTATAAGTAACTTATTCCGACCCCTATAGTACTTACAACTAGCATGAGAGGTGAATTAAAGCCCTTGGTAGCCCAGAAACCATATGCAGTAGGGTTTATATTTCTTGTACCCCCAAAAAGGACACCCGGCAGATACACTCACCAATTTTAAAAAACAATTATATATACTCACCAAAAACAGAAATATAAACCCTGCTTCATATCATAATGAGGGTACCCGTTTTGGGGTTGGCTACTTCAAATTTAGAAGGGAGACTTGGCTACTTCAAATTTAGAAGGGAGACTTGGCCAACAAAGTGCAAAAAAGGGCACCACTGCGCCACCAAGAGCCACAAGAGTCCACTGCAGGTCAGACATTTTTCGGAGCAAACTACACTTTAATGAGCTAAATTTCGATTCCATGGCGCCCTTCAACCCCCCCCCCCCCCCCCCCCCCCCCATAAAAATGCCTAAACCCATGAGCCCTAAGCCCAAAAAATCCCAAGCCCTCGCCCTTTTTGCATCCGGGCTAGACCCTAGCCCTAAACCCTAAACCCCAAACCCCAAACCCCAAACCCTAAACCCTAAACCCTCCTCAACCCTGGGATGTACTCAGCTCGCACCCCCGAGCGTCCGAAGAACTTCCGCGCCCAGGCCAAGGCCCGGATGTCGTCCCTCCGGAGGGCGAAGGTGTGCCTCGGGGGGGTTTAGGGGGGTTTTAGGGGGTTCAGGGGGAGGTTCAGGGGGTTTTTCGGGGGTTTAGGGGGATTTAGGGGTTGGGGGGTTTAGGGGTTTGGGGGTTTAGGGTTTGGGGTTTGGGGTTTAGGGGGTTTGGGGTTTGGTGACGTGTTTTGTTTCGACGCTCCCACTCGCACAAGGCCGGCAAGGTCTGAAGGTCAATCTAGGGTTGAGGATTTGCGGGCGTAGGGTTTAGAGTTTAGGGTTTACGGGTGTAGGATTAGGATGCAATGTTGCATGGAAGCGTGCATGCTGCACTCATCGCTTGACATTCGACGTATGCACGTCGTTCAGGTCTGATTTTCGGAGCCCTACAACCCAAACCCGGGCAGCAAAGGATGTGGGTTTCCGTTGGGGCTCAGGCATTCCCATAAAGATCTCCCATTGAACTTATCAAGAGTGTGTTGAGTTTTGTTAGCCATGTATATGTAAGGGTTAGAGCCGGACTTAAATAGTATTGGTATTTAGGCTCCTGCACATGTTTTTGGGAAGGGATTTTGGTAAACACTAACATTCGGCAAAGGTCTGCGGATATTAGGTTCCCCCCCCCCCAACCTCCCTAACCTCCCTAAACCCTAAACCCTAAACCCTAAACCCTAAACCCTAAACCCTAAACCCTAAACCCTAAACCCTAAACCGCGCTTCTGCAGCCAAGGTCACATCAAGTTCAAGCAAAGGGATCCATGGTCAGGGGCCAGAACTAACGCTTTCCGGTAGAGGCGACTTGCCTGAAGAGTTTTAGGGTTTAGGGTTTAGGGTTTAGGGTTTACAGGGTTTAGGGTTTAGGGTTTAGGGTTTAGGGTTTAGGGTTTACAGGGTTTAGGGTTTTCAGAGTCTGCAGGAGTTTAGGGTTTGGGGTTTAGGGTTTACAGGGTTGAGGGTTTTCAGAGTCTAGGGTTTGTAGGGTATATAGGGTCTAGGCATAGGGTTTGTAGGGTTTATAGGGCATAGAGTTTATAGGGTTTAGGGTTTACAGGGTTTATACGGCTTGCAGTCAGGGGTGGCTAGGGTTTACAGGGTTGATAGGAATTGGGGTTTATAGGGCCTATAGAGTTTTGGTCTAGGGCTTATAGGACTTATAACTTACAGGGTACAGGGTTGAAAGGGTTTATAGGGTTTACAGGGTTTATAGGGTTTATAGGGTTTATAGGGTTCTGGTATAGGCCTTATAGGACATATAACTTACAGGGTATAGGGTTTATGGGGTTTTGGTTTCGGGCTGATAGAACTTATAGTTGATAGGGTATAGGGTTTACAGGCTTTAGGGTTTGTAGGGTTTTTTTCGGATTTATAACTTCTAGGGTATAGGGTTTACAGGCTTTAGGGTTTGTAGGGTTGATAGGATTTATAATTTACAGGGTATAGGGTTTACAGGCTTTAGGGTTTGCAGGGTTTATAGGGATCACAGGGCATTAGGGTGAAGAAAGTGAAGTTCAGCAGTGTGCGTGTGCTCTGGCCTTTGCGACAGAACTCTGAGAGCCCACATTACAGCTTGGGGTTTCGGGGTTTTAGGTCTTAGGGTTTAGGGGTATTAAGGTTTAGGGTTTAGGGTTTAGGAGGGTCTTTCTGGCTGCCCCCTGCGACAAGGCTGCTCAAACCGACCTCGAGACGCCTGAGCCGCTGAAAGGCGCAAAAGCTGGGGTCTTTTTGGGGGAAAGTTCAGAAGCCCACTTCTGCAGAAACCAAGGAAACTTAATCAACCACCGCGGGGGGGGGGGGGGGGGGGCTAAACCCGAAACCCTAAACCATACCTTATAAACCCTAAACCCTAAACCTGGGGGTGTGGGTGGCGACCCCGCTTCCCATCCAAGAAAAAGGGGCAAATGGGCTGCTCCGTGGGGCACCTCTGCGGGTGTCGGATCGTGAAAGGGTTTAGGGTTTAGGGTCTAGGCGGTCTAGGGTCTAGGGTTTAGGGCTCAAACGGCCTCGAGGATCATCCCGCGCTCCTTCATGATGAGGCCCACCTATCGGAAAAGCTCTAGGACGTTAGGGGATAGGATTAGGGGGACCCTTGGGGATATAGAACCCTAAACCCTAAACCCTAAACCCTAAACCCTAAACCCTAAACCCTCTGAATACGGTCCCTGTTTAAGAGAGCCAGCTAAGAGGGTTCAGAAGGGGTTCCCTTTTAAGGGTCCCCCTTATCCTACCTAGGAGATGTGGGCTTTCGGGGTGAAGATTTACGGACTCCCCCGAGAAACCTGAAAGGAGTGCCCGCATGAAAATTCTACTACTTCATAGGTACCCCGTCTTTGGGGAGAGGTCCGAAGGGCTGTGTAAGATTGGAGGTTTTGAAGCTGGTATTGCAAGAGGCCCTTCACTTCTACTACTTGCTTAAGAACCCGACAACAAAAAAACAAGATAATAATCCCGAGATTGCCGCTACAAGGAAGAACATCTTTTTTTTTTTTTTTTTTTTTTGGGGGGGGGGGGGGGGTTCTTAAGCAAATAGTGAACATGAAGGCTAGATATCCCCATATAGGGGGGAGGGGGGGAGGGGGTTCTTCAGCATTCCTTCACTTTGGTGGACGGTAGATGATGTGCATGGGCCAGGGCTTTTGCGAGAAAAAGGATCAGACATGGCCTTATGAGGCTTTAAGCAAAGTTTTGGGCTACTGAGCCACTCATACCCTCTAGACCCGTCTAGGGTTTAGGGTTTCGACTCTCACGCTAGCAGAAGCAGGCAAGGCTCCGGTAGGTTCAACTCTGGAAAGGACACATTGGCCCGTGACTGTTTGGCCCTCAGGGCAAGTCGACCGACTCAAGCAGGATGACCCAAACCCTAAACCCTAAACCCTAAACCCTAAACCCTGAACCCTAAACCCTAAACCCTAAACCCTAAACTTCGGGTTTAGGTCCCAGAGTTCAAGCAGCCGGGAGGTGAGAATGAAGGGTGTTGGCGACTTTCAGCCTTACAAGATAATGTTGAGGCCTGCTTCACTAGAATGGTGGTCTTGGTAGTTCTTACCAAAGGAATATAGGGATTTATATAATATTGGCAAATTTTGAGGCCCCTTGTATATAAATATAGGGATTGACAGAATATTGGCAATGTTTGAGGCCCTTGTATATACGCTGAGAACCCTAAAGCTCTGAGTCGTCGGCGTAGCCAACCACTTCCGCGACAGATCGTTGGTGCGTCTCGTTCGCCGTGGCCTTCCGTATCCAGTTGTGCAAGCCGCTTAGCTCATCAGTGTCGGTTTAGGGTTTGCAGGGTTTAGGCTGGGATGTTCCCCTGATTCTAACAGTCCCAATAGGGATTATCGTACCCCCTATTGTAATTACGATTAAGGACTGCTAGTATAAGGGCGAAGATCCCAAGGTTTACAGGGCTTAGGCTTCAGGCCAGGATACATAGCACAAGCTGAAACCCTAACCCCTTCCAAAGCCTGCCATCTCCAATCCGGAACACCCAACACCCGAAAGCATCCAAGCCAGAGGATTCCTTGTCCATTCCTTAGATCAAATTAGGGATGTTTGTGGAAATTCAGTGGGAACTTCCTAGTGCATGGATGATGGAGGGTTCTGGAAAAGCCAGAGATGAACAAAACACTTCCCACTAACCTCGGGATGTTCCCCTTCTACTGACAGTCCTTAGCAGTGTTCCCTTTTGGACAAACCCTAATCCCTCCTCATGACGTTCCCTAAACCCTAAACCCTAAACCCCAAACGTTTAGGGTTTAAAGTACGTATTTCGGGTCCGAGACGAGGATTCACTGGGCACCCTTAGAACGACAACAGGGGCTCAGACAAACAAACTCATCGAACAGCGGCCGTGATGCTGAAGCCACCACAAGTCTAAACCCATTCTTCTCCCTGGTTCTTGGTAGGGAATGAGGGAATGAGGTACCCTATGTAATCCCTTAAAGGGTGTATATAGCGTAGCTCATTCCCTCATTCCCTACTAAGAACCAGGGAGTCCTTTTTTTTTTTTTTGGGGGGGGGGGGGGGGGCAACTACCGCTCCCATGCAAACTCCCATCTAGCTCCCATTTATCGTGTCATGGTGAACCAGGGAATGTCGTAGGGCCTAAACCCTAAACCCTTGATGGATTCAGCCTGCATGTAGTGCCCCTAAACCCTACCCTAAACCCTAAACCCTAAACCCTAAACCCTAAACCCTAAACCAGCTCGAAGCATCCGAAGCTAGGCTCCCGAGCCGGGTTGGGCGTCATGACGTTGCAAAGCTCCTGCCGGCGCATGCTGCGACTCGCTGGGGTCTAGGGTTAGCTTAGGGTTTTGAGTTAGCTTAGGGTTTTGAGGGTTTTGAGGGTTTTAGGGTTGTGAGTGTGTTTAGGGTTTAGGGTGGTGAGGGCTTTGAGGGTTTTAGGGTTTTTTGGGTTTTGAGGGTTTGGAGGGCTTTTCGGGTCTTTCGGGATTAGGGAAGGAGAGCTAGGGACCTTGTAGAATCCCTGAAAGGGGGTGTAGGGTTTAGGGTTTAGGTTTACCCTGATTCCAGGCCGGAAAGTTTTTGACTGCCAGGCTGAGGCTTCATTTCGGGACCTTGGGCTTGTACACATATGCGCAAACCCTAAACCCTAAACCCTCAAACCCTCAAACCCTCAAACCCTAAAACCCTAAACCCTAAACCCTAAACCCTAAACCCTAAACCCTAAACCCTAAACCCTAAACGCTCACAAGCCGGCGTGGGGTCCGGTAGTAGGGTTTCCGGGCTTACCTTTTTTCCTTTTCTTCCTCAATCCTGCCATCGAAACATCGGAGATCATCTGAGTAATTAGGCCAAGGATGCCAAGATGGAGAGGTTTAGGGTTTAGGGTTTAGGGGATCAGGTAGCCGACAGCCTTCAGGTAATTCGATCGCATGTGCCCAATCTCCCTCTCGGCTTGTGAGCATGAAAGCCACACCCTCGAAGGCGACAGGCCCGTGCGTCAACGCACTGGCCCGCGTTGCAGCCAGCAATTCTGGCTGGTCCAGCCCTGTACAAACGCATGCAACACCCCTCATTTCACGAAGAATAACCACGCGGACCATCGCAGCCTGTTGCATCTGGCCAAAGCTCACAGCTTACTCCACCGCCCACCGTTGGAGAAGCTCAGCACGGTCTGCTGGCCCTCCTCACTTCTCCAATAACCAAGGGAAATGAAGGTCGAACTTTATTATTCCTGATAAACCCTAAACCCTAAACCCTAAACCCTAAATCCTAAACCCTAAACCCTAAACCCAAAAAGCTTAAAGTTCAGCTGTTGGAGAAGTCAAGCCTCCTTCTTCATCCACGCCTTCATGGGGAAGCCCCCGAGCGTGATGTGCAGCCCGAGCATCTTCTCACCCTCCGCAATCTCCTGGGTTGGCCGTTAAAACCCTTGGAAAACACTTGTGTGTATATATATATATATTTATTTATTTATTTATATTTATTTATATGTATGTAACATGTATATATATATATATATAGGGTTCCCTATAAACCCAATGTCCACCCTACTATTTGCTTCAGAACACCACCCCCGTCCAAAAAAACACGAAATGTTATTCCTTATAAGGGCAACATAGGGATTACTATTCTATGTGTTTTTTTTGGGGGGGGGAGGGAGGGTTCCTAAGCAAATAGTTAAGGAATAACATGTTTATATTTTGGGGGGTTCATAATCAAATAGTAGAACCTAGTCTCTCCCAGAAGTGGCGTTTAGGGCATTAATATTAAGATGATTATGATGATGCTTATTATTGTGTCGAACAAGGATATTCTGTCGAACAAGGAACACATAAAATGTCCCAAAAGCCAACTTAGTCTCCCCCAGAAGTGGCTGGTTTCCGAAGGGTGCCTGCACGGACCTAAACCCTAAACCCTAAACCCTAAACCCTAAACCCTAAACCCTACACCCTACACCCTACACCCTAAACCCTAAACCCTGAACCCTAAACCCTAAGCCTGCACGGACTTCACGGAGGAGCCCGAAACCTTCAAGTCGACGGGCTGCTGCACACCAGGGATCTTCCACTTGCCTTCGTTGCTGAGGTTTAGGGTTTAGGGTTTAGGGTTTAGGGTTTAGGGTTTAGGGTTTAGGGTTTAGGGTTTAGGGTTTAGGGTTTAGGGTTTAGGAAAAGTGAATAAAGTGTACTCATTCAGCTACTAAGTTACCTTCAATGGCGCCCTTGCCCTCGGCTGCCGTCATGGATCCGGCCGGGATGATGTTGCTCAGCTTTTCCTTATACTGTTGGTGAGTAGGGAATCGGAACGAGGTACCCTATGTAATCCCTATAGAATCACTTAAAGGGTATATATTCCCCTAAACCCTAAACCCTAAACCCTAAACCCTACACCCTAAACCCTAACCCTACTGACCAACAGCAAGCTTCGCCATCCTTGGAGACGGTGGTGAGGCGCACATCGGCATCATCCCCCATGGCCGAAGTTTTCTGTCCTGAGGTCTTCCTTCGAGAAAAAACTTGTGCCGAAATGGCTAAAAACTGCCGCCTTAAGGTCCCTATATCAATTTAAATATACGATAATGCCCCACAACCCGTGGCTAGCTGGGGAAGGAAGCTCTTAAAACAGCAAGGGAAGCCAACAACGAATGGCTGGCTGACAACGAACACGAACACCCTAAACCCTAAACCCTAGACCCTAAACCCTAAACCCTAAACCCTTTTTGGCAGCAGGCTTCTGGGCTCTCGCCTCGCCTAGTCTGCCACGACGAAGCCCAAACACCCTAAACCCTAAACCCTCGGCCCTGAATTTGGGGGTTTCGGGTTTAGGGTTTAGGGTTAGGGTTTCGGGTTTAGGGCTTCGGGTTCTCCTTGGAAGAACCGCAGCAACAACTTGCGAACTTCACGGGAATTCGGCCCTTTCAGGTGGCAACTCAAGCTTAGGAGGAGCCCCCCCCGCAAAATTAGAGATTCCACGGGCCAATAGGGTTTTATGGGAATTTGGGCTCTTGGAACAAGAAGAAAAAGGCAAGTGATCGTGACTGTCTAGACAGGTTTAGGGGCTGAGGGTGCAAGGTTTAGAGTACCCAAGATCTTAGGCCCAAATTCCACCAACAACCCTACACCGTAGGCCCCAGCCCTGCCTAACAAACCCCCGCCCTCAGTCCATAAACCTGTCTGATCTTTGGGAGTCAAAAGGTTCAACCTAAACCGTTAACCCTAAACTGTAGGGAAGATGTTTAGGGTCCCACTCAGCTTCCAAGGTTTGAGAGTTTTGCTCTCTTGGGGATGTTGCTTCTGCACCTCGACATTGCAGTGCCGCATCACGCCACACACCAACCTGGGCAGTGCACATGCACTGAGCATGCTTTGAGCGCTTTTGGGCAGCTACAGTTGTTGAGCTGATACCCTAAACCTAACCCTAAACCCTAAACCCTATACCCTAAACCCAATAGGGCTTCTTAAAGGGAGATGACAAGGCTGCGCAGGTCCTGCGAAACCGGTGAACCACAGGTTGCAAAGGACCTAAAACCCCCCGGCAGCTACCTGTGAACCGTTGGTGGCAAAACAGACCTAGCAAAACATAGCTGCGGTAGAGATCATGGTAGGAGCCAAGCCCGCACCGAGAAAGGTTTAGGGTTTAGGGTTTAGGGTTTAGGGTTTAGGGTTTAGGGCTTAGGGCTTAGGGCTTAGGGTCTCCAGCAAGATTAGAGAGTAGAAGGGCCTCCTTCGTCGGGGTTTACAAGGTTAGGGGTGCTCGATTGGGTCCTTAATCGAAGGGAACGGGTATCTTGGGGTTGCGTATAACATCATTCTCTATATAGGGATGGATTGTTACCAGTTCGCTACTTGGAATGTGAAACCCTATAAGCCCTTGGCTTTTTTAATTTGGGCAATCTCAGTATATGGCGAGTTCTAAATTGTGGTCACCTGTTGGGTGCCCGAAATATACGGAGCCTCCTCATAATAAGGACCCCCCCCAAAGGGAACATATTTTTGCGAACCTGCCATTTCCTCTAGGGCTTGCACCTTGGACCCTTAAGGTTGTGCCCTTGGGTTTTGGGGCCCCTTTTTTCAGATCCTCCAAGGGAATATCAGACCCTTTTCGGGGTAGGGTTTAGGGTTTAGGGTTTAGGGTTTAGGGTTTAGGGTTTAGGGTTTGGGGTTTGGGGTTTGGGGTTTGGGGTTTGGGGTTTGGGGTTTAGGGTTTAGGGTTTGGGGGGGGGGGGGGTGCTACGCTACTATGCCACGTGGCTGGCTGCACGTCAAGCTGGGCGTGTGCCGGTGTGCCACCTCCAGCCGCTTGGTCTGGGGTTGAGGGTTTAGGGTTCAGGGTTTGGGGTTTAGGGTTTTCAGGGTTAAGGGTTGAAGTTGTAGGGTTTGGGGTCCTTTTTTGAGGTGGGTCGGATAAGAAACGCTTGGTTCGAGGTGCTTTAGGGGTTCGGGTTTAGGGCCTGGACTTGTTCAAGCCACTTATCCCCGATCTCCCGCAGGGGCTGCTGGTACCTGCTTTGGAAGTTCATGCGTACTTTGTTTAGGGTTTAGGGTTTGGGGTTTAGGGTTTAGGGTTTAGGGTGTAGGGTGTAGGGTTTAGGGTTTGGGGTTTAGGGTTTAGGGTTTAGGGTTTAGGGGCTCCCGCACCAGCTTCGGGTCACAGATTTCGGACGCAAGGGATTGGCAGCAACGGCGGAGAAGGCTGTCTTGACACCACCCTGGTGGCGAAGCATGACTTGCCAGCCCTAAACCCTAAACCCTAAACCCTAAACCCTAAACCCTAAACCCTAAACCCTAAACCCTAAATCCTAAACCCTAAACCCTAAACCCTAGCTCAGTATATGGCAGAACACCTATGCTTTCCGTATGAAGACAACTTGCTGATGCACTCACAATAGGATGGCCCGTAAAACCCTCTGTAAAATATTCCCATGTAGGATCCTCTTAAGACCAATAAGCAAAATGTTAAATATCCCAAGGACCTACCCAGGATAAGTAACCCTAAACCCTAAACCCTAAACCCTAAACCCTAAACCCTAAACCCTCAACCAAGAATATTCTCAAAAAGTACCCGGTCCGTGCAGCCCACGGCACCAGACAACGGACCATGACCGCCAAGGCAACGTGGGTGTCCCCTCGCTCCTTGCTTTGGGGCTTTTAGGGCCTTTTAGGGTTTTTTTCGGGATGTTTAGGGCTTTTAGGTTTTAGGGTGGGGATCAGGGTTGTAAGGGGCTTGCTCTCTTAGAATAGGGCTCAGCGTATTCGGGAACGCAAAAGCCCCTCAAAAGTGCCTATAGGCCGGACCGTTCAAGGCGCACGCATCTCCGCGTCCAGGGCGCACACAGCAAATCACGGTCTTTCCCGCGTCCAGGCCGCACACACGTCGTGTTTTCATGGGTTTTTACCACGTATTTCGAAGCTTTCGGATTCCGAAACTTCCAAATGGGTGGCTGCCCAGGGCTTTCAGAGCGCGTGCAGCCAGGAAGTGCCGCGTGCAGCTTGGAAGTGCCGGGAAGTGCCGCGTTTGGAAGTGGCTGGGTTTAGGGTTAATTTCAAGGATCTTGGCACCCAAACGAGCCCCACGCTCGTTTGGGTGCCACGAGTCGGGTTTAGGGCTTAGGGCTTAGGGCTTAGGCTTTAGGCTTTAGGGTTTAGGGTTTAGGGGTTTAGGGGGTTTTAGGGTTTAGGGTTTAGGGGGTTTTAGGGTTTAGGGTTTAGGGTTAGGCTTTAGGGTTTAGGGTCTAAGCGGGTTTTAGGGTTTAGGGGTTTAGGGTTTGGGGTTTGGGGGGTTTAGGGTTTAGGGCTTACGGTTAGGGTTTAGGGTTTAGGGTTTAGGGCTTAGGGCTTAGGGCTTAGGGCTTAGGGCTTAGGGTTTACGGTTTAGGGTTTAGGGGGCTTAGGGGGTTTTAGGGTTTAGGGTTTCGGGTTTAGGGGTTTAAGGTTTAGGGGGTTTTAGGGTTTAGGGTTTAGGGGGTTTTAGGGTTTAGGGTTTAGGGTTTAGGGGGTTTTAGGGTTTAGGGGGTTTTAGGGTTTAGGGTTTGGGGGGTTTTAGGGTTTAGGGTTTAGGGTTTAGGGTTAGGGTTTCGACTCTCACACTGGCATAAGCGGGCGAGGCAAGTCCTGTCGAGATCTCCAGAGTGGGTGCATTGACCACCAGTAACGAACCAACCAGGGTCAGCATTACCACCGACGGATATTCAATGCCAAGCCACAATACTGAAGAGCTGACCCCTGATCGATCCCAGACAAATGGAAAACAAATTGGTACGCGTCCATTGGCCGACAGAAGTTCTTTGACCCAGTCGGCGTGTCCAACAGAGGGGCTCAAACCATGATAGTTAACAGTATACCTCGATCACCTTTCCACCTTGAAACAAGCCTCCCCCATCAGACCCGACTGACTATTCCTAGGCACATTGCGACCTAGCGAAAATACGTGGAGGTTGCCGCAAACCGTCCAAAGATCAGGCATGAATACTATCTCCAGAACAGTACAACCCGAGCGGCCTTTCCTCCCAGAAAGCAACATGTGGCAAGGGCTATGTGGGTGAGACTTCTCTCTATCCTCAGCATTCGATGTCCCGAGCAGTGACTGCCGTCTGTGGCTATACGCACTCGACAACGTACATCTGTCTCTGTCATCCCCGGGCGTCAGGAGGCGCAACTTGGCAGGTGGTGGCCATGCACACGGTCCATGCAGAGTGCACGTGCGTGGGACTGTCAGCTCCGAGCTCGTGCAGAACCCAAGCTTCACTCAACATGCAGTTTTGCATCCATCAGTTTCCAGGGCCTTCACTGCTGAATTCACAAATTCTGAATTCATGAATTCCTTCTCTGCTTCGTACCAGCGGTCATGCATCTGGCAGTTGCAGGCATCATGCAGACGTAGGGTCCCCATCTGCCACACTCCGCGGCGACCCAACTCCATGCAGTGCAGTGGTATTCGTCATGCAGTCACTCCGTGTCGCCGGGGGCGGCCAAAGCGGTCCGGCCGCACGCAGGCACAAGGCTGCCACACGCCAACAAAACTTGAACATCTCGCTGTGTCCCCTGGCAGCCCAAACATCGTGCTGCTGTATTGGTGATGCCAGCCTCCATTGCAGTCCAACCCACATGCCAAACTCGCGAGCTCCAAGGTTCCCAGTTCAGGCCAGCGTCACATCGTGTCGAGAGGCCATGGCTCAGGATGCACCGAGGTGCCATAGACTGTTAGCGGGGTTGTTACAAGTAGGGGGGGGGACAGGTAGGGGACGCCTACAGATCTAGCACACTGAAGCGGACCTGAGTGCACGCTCGCGCGTGTGGGGGGTGCGCTTGTGTGTGTGTGTGTAGCTAACGAGGCGTGCTCAGCAGGCCGGCCCCTCCGTCGGGCCATCCTCCTTGACCACCCCTCGCCTCTCTCCCCCGACCCCTGCACGACCCTCGACCGTCACGCGAGCCTCATGCGACCACCCCACAGCCCGAAGGTTTTCCTCATTGATACTGCGACGAATGGATTGAGAACGAATGATATCCTCCATACGGTATGCGAGAGTGGCCTTGGCGATGCGTTTGGCTTCGGTACGAGATTCCACCCACGGTCCTACGAAACGGTTTGCGAGCCGCTCATACGATGACCTTTCGTCTCTCCCCTGCATGTCCCCGGGCAAAGCGGTGGGTTTGGCGGGGCTCTTTGGCGGTGCCTGTACTCCAAACTGCAACGTGTTGCTTGCACTGTGGGGCGTGACGTTCCGAGCTGCTTAAGGGCCAGGCGGATTCGGACTCTGAGCGTCTCTGCTGACGCACGCATGGAGAACACACATGAAGAGCACAGCACGACTGCACGACAGCTCCCTCAAATCTCGCAATGAAACAGACGGTCCCAGTTGGTGCGCCTGCGAGAATGCCGGCATGCATCTTTGACCAAGTGTGAGAACAGCTACGTGCCCGTGCAATCATGAGGAACACATGGAGAACACAGCATGTATGCGCAACAGCTCCCCTAAATCCCACAACGAGACAACCAGTTCCCATTATTGCTCCTGCGAGAATGCCGGCGTGCATCTGTGACAGAGTGTGAGAAACAGCTACGTGCACATGCAAGTCATGCAGGTCCCGTGCGCCTGGGGCAATCCGGCACAGTATCTATTCCGAGGAGTGGAAGCTAAAACAACTTTGACGGCGACGTGCCCATGCCAATCATGCAGGTCCAGTGCGCCCGGGGCAGTTCTGGCATAGCGTGTATTCCATGCAGTCAATTCTTGGGGGGGGGGTGGCTAATTGGGAGGACGAGGCTTGAGGGCAGAGGTAACATGTACGGGCTAGGGGCGGGGGGGGGGGGGGGGGGGGTCGAGGCGGGGCGTGCCGGAATTCCATGCATCGAATTCCTGGTTGTGTGAATTCAGCTGTTCTCAACATCCACGGCCGGTTCCGGAGGTCTAGGACGGCACCACCAAGCGCGTGAGGGCTGCGGCGTCGAGCGTCATCTGGCCTCCCCCGGGGAGGACCACTAGGGCAGCCCCTCCCCGGTAGGACGGCGTCGGCATGGCCACCGTGTCTGACAAGTTGATGATGGGGGGCTGCGCGGGACCTGGTCCTCCCGCCCCCGTCCCCGGTTGTGTCTGCGGGGGAGAGCGGTAAAGCACCGGTCCCGAAGGGCGCGGGGCCGGTCCTGCTGCCTGCGCCGGACCATCCTCACACTTGTCCAGGAGGGCCTGTATCTGCTCGGACTGCTTGGTCTGGCTTTCCTGGAGCGCCCACGTCATGTCACAGACCTGGGCCAGCACCTTCTTGATGTGCGTGATGTTCTCGTGACTCTCCCGGGCAGCGGCCGTGTCGCAGCCTTCCCACAGCTTTGCGAGATCCGTAGTCAGGCCATCCACCACTGCCGTCACCACTCCGAACTTTTGCTGGAGGCTTTCCATCGAAGCGCACAGGACGGCGGTCTGGGACTTGAGCACCTCCAGACCAGCAGTAGTCGTGCCGAGGTCCGTTTTGACCGCGAGGAGGTCGGCCTTGACCCCTTTATGCAGCGCCGCGAGCTGGGCGTCCATCTTCTGGATTGCCGCTGCTGGGTCTTTGATGTCCTGCACACGGCCTTCTACCCGCTCCACGAGGTTCCACATCTCCTTGATTTTGTCGAGCAGGTTGCCAGCGGCGGTGCGCGCTTCGCGTTGGTCTTGTGCCCGGTTGCTGTCGGCGGTCAGGAGGAGGTCCATGACGGTGCTGACTTTGCCAAACATCTTGTCCGTGCGTTCCATGAGTGCTCGGAGTTGGTCCGATACAGGGTCGTCCAAGGTGGCGTCGGGGGCAGCCGCGCCAGTGTCAGGCTCGCTGGCGCCAGGATCCACTCGACCACGACGTCGAGACACCCCCACCAGAGCCGCCAGCAGCCCCGTCATCAAGAGGCCGCCCACCAGCCACTGCCACTGCGTGTCGTCCATGATGCTCACCCAGAGGTCGTGGAGCTGGCTCGCCGCGGCCAGCACATCGTCCTGTGCCCCGCCGGTCTGGGTCGGCGTCGTCTGCTCCGCCATCCGGGGCTCCTGGCTCAGCGCCTCCATTGCCATTTCGAAAATGCAAGGCACCAAAGGGGTTACAGAAATGCTGAGAGCACGAGGGCTTCAGGGCTGCGGGCGGGGCTGAGCATGTGTCTGTCCATGCATGGGGTGTCAAAGTGCAGACAGCCAACGACGATGGATGCACAAGAGAAACAAAGCAAGCATGGGAGGGGGAATGGGGGGGGGGGGGAGGGGGCGCTTTGCACTCTTGCTATCCCCGGCGGCCCGGTCTGGCGGCCCGGTCTGGCCAGCGCGGCGTCTTACACACCACTCGTGCCAACGTTGTACAGAGTCGCTCGGGAGCCCGAACTATGTGGACTCCCAGCGAGAGAGATCCTTGTCTTTCCTGTTTGCGGGAGGGGAGCCACCAAACTATGCACATGCACATGCAAGACAGAAACAGAAACTAGTCATGCTCATGCAGATGAATTCCCTGCACATGCCAACCAATTCACTTCACATTCAAACTAATTCACTCAATGTCCTTGCGACGGCGGGGGCTCAGATCGTGCCGGGCATGCGTGTCAGCCTAGTCGATGTAGTAGACGTCGGGCCCACAACCATGTCGGAGCTTCCCTACTGGCCATTTCGGGGCGGAACAAG